CTGAAGGTGTGCCTCTTCAGTTGTCCATACATTGCAGCCTAGCTTGCATCAACGGTAGTAATTGGAGCCAGTGATGAGGGATGGGGTGAGTTGCAGTCCAACAGCATCTGGAGGTTTATGGCTTTGCCATTTGAATATAAAAGGACTGAATTGCATACTGTATTCTTTGGTGCGTTCTTGAATTGCCAAATGAGTCAGACATACGCCTGGAAACAGATCCTTGGTATACATAAAGAACCACAACTGGCCTCAGAACATTGTGAATTGGAACTTAAAATGTCCTGTTCTAGAATCATTTACTAGCAACAAAATATTTAGGTGGTGGTGGTGGTGGAGGAGAACAGCTTGCATAAGGAGCCAGCCCCAGACTTTCTTACTCATCTAGTGCCTCCTCTCTGACCCTCATGTGTGTTGTCAAGTCAGAACTGACTTATAGCAACCCTAACAGGGCGCTCAAGGTGAGTGAGATATTTAAGAAGTAGCTTTAACAGTTCTACTCCCGCAGTGAGTTTCCATGACTGGAATTTGAACCTGGGCCTCCAGAGTCCTAGTCCAGCATTTTGCCCACTATGCAAGGGGTCTCCAAACTACGGCCCACGGGCCACATCCGGCCTGCCTTGCCTTTTTATCCAGCCCAGGCATAGGAAGAGGAGGGAAGGGACGCTCAAGTGATCCCCCACCCCCACTGTCTTTGCAAATATTGCTTGGGTCCCCCTTTCCTCCTCTTCCTATGCCTGAGCGAGGATAGGAAGAGGAGCGCAGCTTGGTCTAAGCATCCCCCCCCGGCTGTCTTTGCAAAGACAGGGGTAGTGGATCACTTGGGTCCCCCTTCCTTCCTTTGGCCCTCGAAAATGAGTAAAAATCATGCTAGGGCTTATTTTCAGGCTAGGTCTTATTTTCGGGGAAATAAGATATATCCATTTTGTGCTTGCCGATAATCTGACAAATCAAAATTTAAATAAGCATATAATCTAAATAATTTTAATAATATTAATCTTAGAACTGTAGAGCTTGGAAGGGACCCTATGGATCATTGAATCCAGCCCCTGTCAAGGAGGCGCAGTGGGAAATAGAATGTCTCGTTGTGTCTAATATACATTAAGATAAACAACCACCTAAGCCACCAGGTGGGCAATCCTTGGTCACTTTTTGTTTTTGTTTGTCTGTGGTATTATCTATGCATTATTTTATTATTTTATTTTATATGTTTTGCTTAATTATGTAAACCATCCCAAGTAGTATTTCACTAGCCCAGACAGTCTAGAAGCTCAATGAATCAATCAATTAAATGAGAGTAACTTCTTGATACTTAGGGAGATAATTCTCCTTGCACATGCCACTGAAAATTGTTTAGCCTGGGCACACATTTCATGGCCAAAGTCAGTAAAAGTGATGCATCAGCAAGCCACTTGGATCATGTCCCTCTTGGGGTTGGCGGATCTCATCTTCTTGTTCATAGATGCTTTGTATGGTACTGTCATGCTGTGACAGAGCACTTTGTAACGATTCCTTATAAAATTGCTTACCTGCCTCTTGATCACAAATAATCCTCCAGTGCTGTTTTCTGCCATGAGTGATAGAAACGTGATCCTGTTGATCTCCCTCAAAAAGTTTTTACTTGATTGTTATCTCATGCTTGCCTTACTGTTTGACAATGCTAAACTTGTTTTGTTCAGTTCCCACTCTGTATCCTGCAACTTTTACTTCTCTTTCTTCTTTTGAGCCAGTACAGATATTTTATACTGTTGTGAGGTATAGCCTTACAGAATTGTATTGTCGTAGCATGCAAGAACATTTGATATATCCCACCTTTTTTCACTTCAGAGAAATGAGGTTTGGTTTATTTATAAGTTACCCTGGTGTCTTGCTTTTCTCCCAGTGAGTTCAGGGAGACATGCAGAAATCTCTTGAATTGAAGTATTTAATTTGAAGAAACTCAGTAAAACAAGCTATCCTTTAAATTGTACTCAAAGTTTACCCGAACTTTAGTGTCAATATATATATATTTTTAATGGCCAGCACATTCTCTGCTGAAATGTCACTGTAATGTGGAAAGGAAAAACAAATAACTAGAAATTGCTGACTTAACTGAAATGGGTTGTCCAGACTCCAAAGCAGGATGTGGAGTGGATTTTTTCCCCCAAAGTATTGTTGGCCGGAAGGAGACAGGAGCTTAACAGCACTGTTGAAACTGGTCGGATTGGTTGTATTATTTTCATTCATCACATTACAAATTTTGGGGAGAGCAATGAAGTTTTATAAGTAGAGTATTGTTGTTTTTTCCCCTATGTGGAAAATGCCTGGCCCCATGTAATAGGGTGCTTTGTGGCCAGTAGGGTGTATTTGTTGGCTTTGTGAGCTTTGCAGTCCAGCAAGTCAGTGATCTCCAACCTTCCCAGACACGGGGCTCACTTGAAGTACAAGCAGACATAGGACTGTCACTCTAGATATTGCTAGACTGCTACTCCCTGCATCCCTCTCTATTGTTTATGCTAGCTAGGACTGATGGGACTTGCAGTCCATCTACATCTGGAGGATCTGAGTTTGTTCATCCTTGCATAAGGGGCACATTTCACTTCTACCATCTTAGTATAATATCCAGATCACAATTGAAGAGTGCCGTTGCCTACCTACCTTCCAGATCAGTGCTTCTCAGCCTTGGGTCCCCAGATGTTCTTGAACTACAGCTCCCACAAATCCTGGCCAGAACAGCTAGCAGTGAAGACTTCTGGAAGTTTTAGTCCAAGAACATCTGGGGACCCAAGGTTGAGAACCACTGCTCTAGATGTTTTGGACTGCAGTTCTTTTTAGTCCCTGCTAACAGTTACAGATTATGGGAATTGTAGCTCAAGACAGCTAGAGGTGACCCAGTGGCTCACCTCTGCAGTAGTGGGTCCCACCTGTAGTTGAAGATCAGTGACCTTTTCCTTACCACTGACATCTAGGCAGAAATACAATACTAGAAAAGGGCTAAGAATTAGGGCAAGAATATCAAATAACACATGGTTCGTTATACATTTGTTGGTTCTGCTTGCAGATATTTGCTGGGTGATTTGAACTAGTAAAGGGTCTTTCTTGGTGGGTAAGACTTTGGCATGCTAGCCTCACCACTCATCAGATGTGTTGATTTCTTGTAACCACAATTTTTTTCCAGGAAGATGAGTTCACGCAGACCTTACTGATTGCTGGGAAGCACCTTGGATATTGTCCATAAAGTAACAAGAACGGACACTCAATACGTGCAAAGAAGGATGTGAAAAGCTGAGTGCATGCAGTTAGATAGCCCTTGGGAATGCAACTCTAGAAGTCTTTAAGTCAAGCTTTGAGAGCTGCATCTCAGGATAAAAGCAAGTGGGTTGGGGGGGCTGTGCTGGCTTGATTAACAAGCTGCCATCGGATCTTCAGAACCGTTTGCTTTGTAGAGGAAATTGCAGTTCGGATACAAAGTGCCACCTCCATAGTCTGCCATAAGGTGATTTCCCCAAGTATTTAGAGACAGGTATGAGATGTCTGTAAGGCATTGCTAGGAATAGGTGAAAAATTTTGTCCAGTTTGGGTTTTTCCCCATAAGAGTGTACCAGAATTTGTATATGTTTTGCTCCTGGGCGTGATAAAGAATTTGAGAGTGAAAGAAATGACTGGAAATTGCAGGTTCCAGGTCCGGTAGGGTATGGCAGTAGCGTTCTCTTCCTTGCTTTTCTGCTCTTTTGTTTTTATTCAACCCTTTTGCCATCGCCTCATCTCGTCAGTCCTGATAACAGTGTTTCGCAAAGTTGCCGCCTCATGCATTGTTGAAATGAAGCTCCCAAAAACTGCAGCCAACATGAGCAAGAATTATTGACCTGGAAATATTTGGAAATCCAGGATTGGGAGACATTGAGTGCAGGGTGGATTTGATTTAAATCAAGTTGATTTGAATCACAATGTAAATCGCTGCTGGATAAAAAACAATGACTAAAAAATTTTTGAAAATCTGATTTAAATTTTAAAAGTCTAGTTTGAAAAAAAAATAATTGATTTTTAAAACACACATATGAGAGACAGCATGAGTAAATTTAAGCCTCATTCTAATCTTGGGATGGCATTCTTCTGCATCTGTGATAACTTGCTGGCAGGCCCCATTGATTTCAGTGGGACTTGCTCCAGAGCCTATGGGCATCAGACTGTAGTTCTTCACCAACTCTTAGTTCCTGTAGTTTCAGGGTAGGGGCTCTTCCCAGCTCTAAAGAACAGTCATTTCCAGGTCTCTGATCATAATGCTGATTTGTGTTGCTGCTAGCCTAGGACTCTTCAGTTAAAGACAGGGACCAGATCCTTGCCTGTAAGTCTTGCCCTCTCGTATGGAGGTTCTATTCAGTGCAGTGTTGTTAGCCACGTGCGGGCAAGTTAAAAACAAAGACGTGTGTAGCTAGCAACAGTTGTGGATCGTGAAGTTGAATTAATAGGTGTGGTTGAAGAACAGCAACGTTTTTTGGCTTTCCTCCTCTGTTATTCCATTCTGTTGCTCCTCTTTATGGTTGATGAAAATGAACAAATGAAACACTCTGGCTTGTAAGCTTAAATTAAAAACCTGACATAGGAGCCTTTTCTTGAAGCTTACTGAAAAGTGGTGGAATGTCCTGGTTTATGGCAGACTTGGTTTTGCCTCTCGTTTCACTTTAAGTTTTTCCCTTCCACTGAAGTTCATTTTCACTTGAATACGGATAGAGAGGCACATGGGATTTGCAACCTTGCTTTGCCAATTTGATATGTTTTTTAAATAGTTCCACAAGCAAGGATTGCACCTCCACAGGTGATCCACCTCATTGTGCATCAGACGAAGCAAGCAGTAATCCACAAATGCTTAGGCCATTTGAAATTTGTTTATTTTTAGGTTCCATAGGACTGTTGGTGTGGAGTGCAACAGGCTGAACCTGACTGTCCCCCTGGAATTGTTTACATCTTAAAGTTTTCTCCCCCTAGTTTGGTCCTCTGAAGTATTCGGTTTCTCTTCCCCACAGGATGAATTCCGGACACAACTGGCAGATAATGATGGAAAACTCATAGTCATTGATTTCTCCGCCACATGGTGTGGACCATGCAAAATGATCAAACCTTTTTTCCATGTAAGTAAGCTGGTGTAATAATTGGGGCTGTCGCATTTCGTATAGCTAGGGTTGGGCTAAAACACATGCTGATCAGCCTATGTGTTATAAACCATGCCTTCTGTTTTGAGAAGACAGGGGCCTTACTCACTTCCCCCAGTCCTTAGAAGGTCACATGAGCTGGACGGATAGCACAGTGAGCTGGGTGCCTGACTACAGACCCAGAGGTTGGGATTTTGATTCCCCACTGTGCATTCCAGAAGAACCAACCTGTATAACCTTGGGAAAGCTACACAATCTCGGACTGCTTCCAGAAGAAGGGAATGGTAAACCACTTCTGAGTATTCTGTACCTAGAAAGTCCTGAAATCAACTTGATGACTTGTACCATATTTTTCCATGTATATGACCCCCCAATGTATAAGATGACCCCCAATTTTGACCCTTGCCAGAGGAGCAGTCAATGGGCAGTCGTGAGAGGCGGCCGAGTGCGGCTGCTCCTTCACCTCCACCCCCTTCCATGTATAAAACGACCCTCAGTTTCTCCTCCAATGATTTTAGGGAAAAGTGTCATTTTATACGCGGAAAAAATGTGGTAATTATTATTATTATTAGGTGACATCACTGGGGGACGTGGTGTTACTGCTGCACTTGCCTTGTCAAGAGAAAAGAGAGATGGAATGCTGTCTCCAAAGGTGTTTTTTACCTGCCAGCAAGGTTTCCACTCCCCTAGGCTTCACCTGTTGCCACCATGTCTCAAAAACTGCCCTCCATGTTAAAGGGAGGTCCATGGCAAGAAATGCAATTGCTAAGCATATTAAGCAAATTATGTTAATTTTGCTCATGTCCTTTCTTACCAGAGTCTTGTTGAAAAGTACCCAGATGTAGTGTTCATTGAAGTTGACGTGGATGACGCTCAGGTAAGTTCTAGAACTTGGCTTTCAAAACTTGGCCAGAGGCAGTACATGGTGGGTTGTCAAATAAACTGCAATGATTCAAAGTGTTTTCTGACTATCCAAGGGCATGTTAGTTGGAGACCACATTAATATTCCAGAGGTCCATGGTTTATGGTCCTGAACAGTGGCTAGAAAAAAATGCCTTGACAAACTTCAGCAGAAACCCATGTTTTGCCAGAACACACTCATCTCAGTCTCTAGTATTTCTACCTTGAGTATACCCCTCTTATAGGCTCAAGTTTTATACTGTGGTGATTAACTTTTTTCTGTCAAGGGCCACATTCACTCAATGCATGTTTCCCATGTTATCTACCCTGTGCTGATAAATGGTGGAGACTTGCATTAGAGCTGTCATTTACTGGTGCTATCCATCTACCTCCCAGTTCTGCCATGCGCTGAACGCTTCTACAAATTTTCCCTGTTCTCACGTCCATGTAGAGCTAGCTTTTCAGGAAACACATCTGCTCTTGGATTATGATTTCAAGAAGAAAAGAGTATCATACCCGCTTCTTACGGAGGCATTTTTATAAGCAATACCTGGTAGTATGCAGGGTGTTGGCACTATCAAAGACTGCACGTCTTTTCCACACTTCTGGTAATAATACTGCATAGAGATTGGTTAGTGAAATTATGCTTCAATGTTTACTTGGGGTGGAAGTCAAAGTATAAAAGTGTACCCATGTTTTGAGTGAGGATGGATGGGAGTTAATCTGTGATCTTAAAATCTTTGCATTGGGGTATAAAGCTTCAAACTTGACTTTTTGCTTTAAACTGAAAGTTTTCTCTTTGGGGAATTTATTCGGGTAAAACACACTTGAGCATATTTAAATGTACAGCCTGTGCTCCAGGAGTAACAAAAGTCAGTTGACTGTGTTTAATACCTTGTCAAGCAAGATTGCTCAGTTTGAAAACTTGCTTGTAAAGTTTTTTTTCCTGAGCAAGCAAGAAGCCGGTGTTGTGTAATCAGTCTGGCCAGCTCAAGGAAACATGGAAAGTGATGGTCTAGTTTTTATCACAGCGTTGGTTGCTTTTTGATGCCCTGATATCAGCACATTCAGCAGTGACTACTCTTCATATGACTGACTAGGGTTGCCTTGCAAGCGTGGGGCAAGGTGATAAGCCGGTTCCACGGTAAATATTTTAGAGAATAACATTGTGTACTTTCTGCTTTGTATACTTAAATGTCCTCAGAGTTATACCCAGCAATGACAAATTTCTGTTGTTTTGCAACTGACCACAAGTAGCAGAAATAACTGAAGATATAAGGAAAATGAAGCTGCTTAACTTCTTCCAGAGTCATTAGAAGTTAGGAGGGACATTGGGGAGATACTTGTTGATTTTAAACGCTCATTGTACACTGTACCACAATGATCTGGCTAACCTATTAAATCTTTCCTAGGACGTTGCTGCACACTGTGATGTGAAGTGCATGCCAACATTCCAGTTCTACAAAAATAATGAAAAAGTATGTGATCCAAACATTTCCAGCAACATGTTCCATGGGGGTGGGGGAATTAACATGTAGAATTATATAGAATGTCATGACCTCAGTAAGTGATTCGCTGAAGAAGTTGCACTCTTTGCTGTATCCGTGTTCTCCATCTTGCCAGGCTTTTAATTTTTCTTCTTCTTCCCCTTCTGCTTTGGATAAGCCTACAAGCATATAGTGTGGCATACTTTTTTTGCTAGTGATTTTGTGACCTGGTCATTGTGCTCTCAAAAGTTGTTTGTGTGTGAATATATATTTACTAACCACATCAGGTGAAAGTGACAGTCTACATATTGCAGGCATGAATAGGTAAGCTTTGTGGAAACAGCTGCTACTATCTTAACCATGATCCACATTGTAGTTTGTAACCAAAGCAAGATTCTGAGGTGGGGTAAACAGAGGACACCCAGTGGCTTAAATAAATATAGTCAGCAGCTGGGAATATTGTAGTCATGACTTCTGAAAGCAGTGTTTGCTAACTGCATCCATTGTGTTTGTGGTACTTCCTATGAGTTTCCCAGGACGATGAACCTAGGAAGATATAAGCATTAGCTACACCTGCTTTGATGATAGGCCTGCTTATTCAGGTGACTAAATATAAATTACATTTACAGTAACTAGAATGGCCCGTTCTTTAGCCCTGTCATCTGTGCAGGTGCCATAATGCTTATATTGAGGTGGACGGGGAAAGTCCTGATGTCTTCTATACCTTTTGGAAAAGTCCTTGAATAAAAGGTACCATCTCTTGATACACACGCTAGTATCACCTCTCCAAACTACACTTTAGTTCTATCAGGGTGCAAACAAGCCCTTTTGAGCTCTTGTGTTGCGGATGTGCAGCTATTTAGGAACATGGTTAATAGTCCTCAGTGGTAAATACATGTGACCACATTAAGCTGCTTTCTGAAATATCAGGTAGTTTGTCTTCAGTCCTAATGCATGTCAGTCCTAGGAGACACACTGCTGCAGGAATGAGTACACTCCAGATGGACTCCAGTTCTTACCAGACCTGCTAGCACAACCTGCGGTGGGGGAGTTGCAGGCAATATCTTGCACTTCCTTATACTGTTAGGAGATGTTAAGGCTCTTTTGCCTTCTCACTAATTTATACTATAATTTGAGTGGTTGGGAATCAATAGTATGGGAGCAAAACCAAGCCACTGAAGTCAAAATTAGCGTGCATCTTCTGACTACTGCAGTTACAAGGCTATGATTGTGTAGTAACATGTGACCCCAAAAGCTTTCACTTTTCATTGCTTCCAATTTGAGTCCTGAACTGACTGGCTTTAAACTTGGAAATCTTGTTTTTCAGGTGCATGAATTCTCTGGTGCAAACAAAGAGAAGCTGGAAGAAACCATTAAGAACCTAAAGTAATAATTGATTCTGGTTCATGAAGTGCGACTGTTAAATTATAGCCTTTTCTATATTACAGATTCAACCCAGTTAGCACATGTGCCCAAACATACTTTTGACCCTTCCAACTGTAAATGAAAATAAAAATGTATAAACAATGTCATGACTCTTTTGTTTCAGCTGACTTTTGTTATCACAATTGTAATTATAGTGTGACCTTGGGCATAAAATAAGGGAAATGGTTACTGAATTAACCTGTCTTCTAAATGTTGGTTGTAGTATGTACATAGCAGTCAAAATCCTCTTGCTTATGTGCGCTGGCACAACACAAATGGCGTAACTTTTGGAAGGAATGTCCTCATGTTAAGAATTTTCTGTACATATTATCTGTTGCATACTGAGTTGTGTGGCTCAGCATGCAGCAGATAAATGTCTACAGAGATTTCTTAACTTGAGGAAATTTGCCTCTGAAAGTTATGCTGTTTGCATAACTATTCAGGAAAATTTTGGCAAATACCCGATTCTTTTGCCATAATGCAGTTGCTTCAATGAGGAGTACAGTAAAGGGTTGCCAAAGCTGTTATTATTAGAATGAGCACAAAGAAGCTTCTGCATTTTGAAATCGTGTCTGTGAGGTGTGTTTTTTTCAAGACCTGGTTCTCAAGGCAATACAGTACCATGTTTAAATTCAATCTTGTTGAAGGTGCAAATATAGCAAGAAAGCATTGTGGTTTTTGTTTGTTTTGATGCTACTGTGACAAACCCAGACCTACTATACGCAAGCATTGTGGTTTTTATTTGTTTTGGTGCTACTATATGCTGGTAGGAAGGTTTGTTACAGCAGTAGTTTTTCAACATTTAATTCTCACACACCTGGTGTTTTGAATTTTCAGCTGCCAGAAATTTCAGGGAGCATAGCCAGTTTTCAAGGATTCTAACACTTTGGTGGACCCAAAGCGGAGACCCACAGTCTTGGAAAATACGCTGTTTGCCTAAGGAGGGATAGACTGAGCATGACCAGAGAGGCAACTTTATTTGTTCCTGTCAAATTCTCAATGGACAGGCTGCAGGCCAACCCAAAAAGGTTGACGAGTCATAGCTACCTGGGTCATTTTATGAGCTGTCCAGGGCTGCAGCAATTAAAGCTTTTGTTCATACTCTTTAAATGAGCCTCAGAAGGTTGGAAACACACCATTTTATATTTCCTGTCTCTTGTTTTGTCTGTATGCCTGATGTAGGTCTCAAGCTATTAATAAGCCCTTTCTCATAAATTGCACAGAAAAACACATTTGCCTCCCTTCAGCCTGAAAAATGGAGACTACAACTTAATCTCTTCTGCATTGGATCTTGAAATTCTGGTAGTATATTTGTAGCTTTGAGATATTTATTTAATTCCAGACACTGGTGAGGAACCTTAACTCTTGTAACCACTTGACTAGGCAATATCTGTTCTTTCTCATCCTAGGGATTGGGGAAAGTGTTGCTTTTTTTTTCTTTAATTCAAATTCTTTTAACCTCAAGCTCCTTTTATCCCAAAAGAAACTGTAAAGAAATGTCTTCATTTGTACCTGACAAATTTAATACAGTGGTGCCTCGCATAGCGAGGTTAATCCGTTCCGGATTAACCTTCGCTATGCTGAAGCATCGTTGAACGGGGCAGGGATTTCCATTGGAATGCATTAAACATGGTTTAATGCATTCCAAATAGGCCAAATACTCACCGTTCAGCGATGCTTCAGGATGGCCGGCAGCCATTTTCGCGCCCTCGCCTCGCTTAACGAGGGCACGAAAACGCTGCGCGCGGCCATTTTGGGCCATTTCCAGGCTTCCGGCGGCCATTTTGGCCGCCTAACAGCTGATCGTCGGGGTTCGTTTTGCGAAGATCGGTAAGCGAAACGCTTACCGGTCTTCGCAAAGCGAATTTTCCCCTATTGGAAAAACGTTGAGCGATCGCATTAGCGATCCGAAAAAACGGATCGCTATGCGATTTCATCGTTATACGGTGCACTCGTTAAGCGAGGCACCACTGTACTTACAGTTGTTCCCCTTATGAAGAGGACCATAAAGTATGTGTCTGCTACATAAATGATACATTTAAGGAGTCTGTCAGAAAAAAAAGTGGCAAGCCTTAGTCAACATTAAGATGGAGGAATATAACCAGATTTGTACATATTTTACATTCAAACCCTAAGCCTGGAATGGACAAAGCTGACAGTTCCAATATCAATCACATCTGACATTTTAAAATCTTGAATACTTTCCATCTACAACGTGACTGTCAATAAATTCTTATCTATGAAAAAACAGAATTCTTGCCAGCCACTAGTTCCTCTAACTAGAATGTTTGGTTCAGAGTTGGATTGCCTTATTCAGTAACAGTACATGCTCTGGTCCATGGGGTCAGGAAGAGTCAAACACGACTAAATGACTAAACAACAACAGCAGCTCGCCAGCAGCAAATGGGTCTTTCCTGCCTGGACAAGCTAAGTTGGGGGGAGGGCCCTCTGCATACAAAGCTTGTTCTTTCCTACTGAGCTGCATCCTGTCCTGTGTGTCACATGGTTACTACTGTGTGGTTGACTGAAGATACTGAATTTACTGGAGTTTGATCCTCTGAACGAGGAATCTTGTTGGACAGGTAGACGTATGATAAGATCTTTAGGAAGAAAGCAAACACTAAGCATACTTTGAACTTCCTTTATTAAACTGTGATCTGTTTTCCCTCCCTGTCTCTTGAAACCTCAAACACACAAGCTGAAGGAAAAACAGATTGTAGAACAAGAGAAAAACTACAACTGTGTGCCAATGTTGTGGCAGTTATATCCTGGGCACCGAACACTCAGTTAAAAACATAGTTATGTTGACTGGAATTTATGAGGAAATAGAAAGATATACTGTCAAGCAGATTTTAAACCTATGCTTTATTTTCATTTTTAAAATATATAAAATACTTTTCTGTATTTGCCAACAATGCCATTCTGTACTCTACATGGGACAATCAGGACAATCTCTAACCATAACAATTAATTGACATCAGAAATCACAATGCACAGAAACTGTCTACCAGGACACTACTCACAAGATATGAAAGTTGCTATTTTAGTGAAGAAAATTACAGAACAAAAATCCAGAGGGAAACAGCTGAGATAAAATATATATGCACATGCTGGATATATATATCTCAATAGATTAGATATTGGCCAAGGTTTCTTGAGTCATTATCAAAGGTAAGAATCATGTTGGTATCTACTGTTATTTTTTTCTTCTCAACTAACCAGACCCATCTTTTAGGGTCAAAGGTAAAGTCTATCATCCTCTACATTACCACATGTTCCTGTACAGAACCAGGCTTCAAAAGAACTAATACCAAACTAGTCACAAATCATTACTAGGTGTGAAATAAAACCAAACACCATTGCCCTTTCATCTTAGAGCCTTGCAAGGATATTTTACCATGTTGTCTCTGTATTCTAGCTCATCTGAAGAAGGGGGGGTGATGTTCCACGAAAGCTTACATTAAAATACAGCTGTCAGTCCTGAAAGTGTCACAACTTACTTTTTTTGCTTTTGTTCTGTTTCTTGTTGAAATTCTTGCACAGAGTAACACAGCTGCAATTTTGAGATAATAAACTGACTTGCACTGGCCTTTTAAAAGCAACATGTTAACGGTGTACATAGATAAATGAGGAGTATCATTGTATACTGTTTATAAAACCAGAATGATTTTAGTCTTGAAAAATGTTTACATTTCTCAATAGGATCTGTGGTATGTCAGTCATAACAAAGTGTACATTTCAAAATATTTTAGTAAGCATAAGCTATTAAGAATGAATGGAGGGGGGAGGCCCAATATTTATCTTGCAACATGAAGTATAAATTGGAAAGATGGAATTTTGAGCATCGCTGTTTTAAACCCCCAAAAGACAGCTGTTTTTCTCTTGGAAAAATGGACTTGGATGTAGGAAGTGAGTAAGGGGCTGGTGGGGGGGAGCGAGGCTGTGGGGGAGGAGAAAAATCTAATTTTGGCCTGCATACCTCTCTTCTGCAGATGAGATGCACTAGTGACTATGTGGTAGTTACCCATGTCTCTGCTTCCATGACATATACAGTAGTTTGGCCCTTGTAGTTCATGTGACACTCTTGTTTCCAAAATCAAGTTGAGCTCAGGCTTTAGCTTAAAAAGTTAAGCTGCTGTACATTTATGAATGAGTTCCTGACAAACAAACAGTCTTCAATTAGAAAGGGTGCTGTTTAGCATTTATTGTGCAGCATTTCTTGAAGGAGGGAATCTCTTAGGCTTTCACTACTGCTTTCCCAGTGTTTTCTCCTCTGAGCACTCCAATGAACGCAGCTGGCATGTTTTCAAATCCTTTAGTGACGTGTTCAGGACACTTAAGTTTTCCCTGTTTTTGTTTAAAAGGGATGGAAGAGCTTTTAAAAGGTGTGGTCATTTTTTATTTCCCCTAAGATGCAAGAACAACTTTCTGATTCAGCTTACTACTTCAACAGGCTGAAGAAATCATTGAGCAAGCACTTAAAAGACCTGTCTTCAAAAAGCAAAGGACAAACATTGCTGCTAATACAGAACATATTCATAGTGCCCAATCTATTCTGCAGCTGAAATCCCAATTACGCAGCTATGCTGCAAAGGCGGCTGATGTCATCTTATACAGCAATTTTTCAGAAATAAAAATTTGCAGTTCTCTTGCTTACAGTCAAGACTTGCCTTTGCTGTGAGGAAACCATCAAGGACTGCAGAATGGGTGTGTATGTGTTATTTCCAAAAATCACTGCTTCTAGGGATGACTGTAGTGGTGGTGATGTATGAAAATTAAAGACTCTCCATGGATCTCAGTGGCTTCCCCATGATGAAGAGGATTCCATTAAATTGTTGTTTTTGAAAAATCACCTTAGCTGATGACATCATCAGCCTTAAGGTAAAGATAGAGGTTCCCCTTGACAATTTTTGTCCAGTCGTGTTCGACTCCAGGGGGCGGTGCGCATCCCCATTTCCAAGCCGTAGAGCCAGCGTTTTGTCCGAAGACAATCTTCCGTGGTCACATGGCCAGTGCGACTTAGACACGAACACTGTTACATTCCCACCGAGGTGGTCCCTATTGATCTACTTGCATTTGCATGCTTTCGAACCGGTAGGTTGGCGGGAGCTGGGACAAGTGATGGGCGCTCACTCCATCACGTGGATTCGATCTTACGACTGCTTGATCTTCTGACCCTGCAGCACAGGCTTCTGCGGTTTAGCCCACAGCGCCACCACGTCCCTCTATCATCAGCTTTACAATGTGTAATTTATGGAACACAATTTCAGCCAGTGTTTTATGTCTCAGAAAATCTATTCAAATGTCATCAGTTCACACTACTTTGTAGCTAAAAGATTTGGGCTGTTATAACACACAAACAGTTCCCAACCAGAGCTTGGAAATAATTAGCTATAATTAGTGCTTTATGATTTCTTTCTTTCTGCAGTAATGAATAATTAAATTACATTACTGCAATGGGATGAAAGAGAACTCAATCCCTTAGACAGTGTAAAAGTAGCAGTTGCTTTTATATTTGTCTTTATAGTTTTGCAGTGTGTTGCCCAAAAGCTTTCTGTACTTCAATCTATCTATCTATCTATCTATCTATCTATCTATCTATCTATCTATCTATCTATCTATCTATCTATCTATCTGTCTGACTATCTGTCTGTCTGTCTGTCTGTCTG